GATATAATATCGAGTAATAATTTCTTAGAAATTATCTTATTTCTAACGAATCTTATTTAGTATAATTATAAATTCGTTAGATTAATACTTAACTTAATATTATAATTATAGAGTATTAGCGATATTCTAAAATATTTCTATTAAGTTAAATTTATCGACTATATTATCTAATAAAATTAATATTTATTAAAATTTAATTTATTTAAGTAAAATCTTAATTTAATTTATTTTTTTAATATTAAACTTTATTATAGAAAAGAAGAAAAGAAGATTTAAAATAAAGTAAAGAGAAGTTTAAATACTCTAAAAGAATAGATATTAGAAATATTAGATATACTAGAGAGTAGTAAAATTTCTCAAAAATACATCGAAATTATTCGATATTAAGAATAAATTTTTTTACTATAAAGTCTAAAATAAGATTATTTCTTTATAAGAGTTTAATATACTTATTTCTTAATTATTTAAGATATTAAAAAGACTATAAGTATTTTAAATAATAGTTTTTCGAATATACTTACTTCGCTTAGAGGATTCTTTATCTTATAGAGAAGTTATATATGAGAAAATTTCGAAAAATAATATTCTAAATTAACTATAACTTAATCGTTTCTTATCTAATTAAGATCTTATTAAAATCTTAAGCGTTATAATATATAAAGTTGTAAGTAATACTATTAATATATATTTTAAATATAAAAATATAAGATAATATTAACTATTTCTTTCGATTCGCTAGTTATATAAATAATCTAATATCTTCTTTATCTCTTAATTACTATTTATCGAGATCGTTTCGCTATTTCATTTAAGCTCTTTAAAATCAATTTATTTATTTAATAAGCTTATCTAAAAATATAATAACTTAACTTAATTTCTTATTAAAGTCTCTATTAATATATTTCTTTAAATTTATTTATTAATATAAATAAAATAAGTAAATTAATCTTAATTATAGTATTAAAATCGATATAAATATAATATTAATATAGATATATTAAATAAGATAATTAAGGTATCGAACTATATAGATAGAAAGAAGATATAATATAATAAAGAATATCTCCGCCAAGACTCGCTAGTCATAGGGCTGAGGGGTATATTAAGGATACGCTTATAATATATATTTAAGTACTTCTCTAATAAGATAACTATTATAATTATTAAATAGTAATAATCTATATATCTCTATACGCCTTCTCTTTATAAAATAATTAAAATATTTAATCTAGGCCTTATATAGATTATCGTTTATATATTCGATATTATTAATATTCTATAGAGTATCGAGATTAAGGCTCTCTTAGAATTAATTATTAAGATATTATTTTCTAATTAAAATTAGTATCGAGGGAAGCGTATAATCTAAGTTATTAACACACTCGATTAATATAATATATTCTCTATTATTCGTATTTATTTAATAAAGTAAAAATTCTTTTTCTTCTATAATAACTCATTAACTTTTATCTATTTTAATTTAAAACTTAATCTTATTAAAGTTATAGATATCTTCTATTTATACTTTAAACTCTTAATAAATACTCTAAAAACGTTAAAACTAGTTTTAAATAGCTTCTAATTTATATATATTCTTTTATTAAGCTATAAAAGACTTTTATTTACGTATTTTATATTAAAGATTACGCTTTAAAAATCGCGTAGATTAATAATTACCTACGTACTTAATAGAACTAAGATACTCGCGAAGTATAGAGTTTATAGCTCTTTTAAGCATCGGATAACGATAAGATATTCTTAATCTATCGAGCTATTATATATATTAATAAAGAGTTTATTCTTTATAATCTATAAGCGCGTAAGAGTAGCTATCTTTAAGGGGAATCTTATTATAGCAATTTAGAAGCTAATCGTAGAGCACGTTAAATTTAGCAGCTAATCGAGTGATTTTAGACTTTATTCCGGGGGTAATAGTAGCTAAAGCCTTCTAGATACGTTCCTAAATAACGGTATATAAGTCAGATATAATTATGGTTATAGTAGATAGGTAAGGGATGAATAATTTCAATTATTGAAAAAATTGGTATTAGGGTGGCTTTAGCGTTGGGGTGGCCCATACTAAGTGTAGCGTGTTCCCATACGATTATTGCTTATTACTTTACTTTATTCAATTATAGACAAAACCCTTATCTTATCGGCTCAATGCCAAGACCTGCAGAATCGCCTTTCTATTCCAGCCACCTTCCTTTTACGACAAACGTTCATGCCGCCATATCGGTAGACCCGGGACCGCTCTGCATGATTGCCGTCGAACTGCATTGAAGCTTCGCTTGATAGGCTTGATTGCAGTTAGCATTATGATTATTACAGTACCCTGCGTCAGGGACGTCGAGGATGAGGGGAATGGCTAGCGGTACGTAACACTTTGGTGCTTCAAAGCTTCCAGCTGCCTGCAGTACCTCAAGGTCAACTGACGACTCCGCCATGCAGGTCAATGTTCTGAACGTTTTCTGTGCTTGCCTGGCTCTGGGATTGGCCAATGCCTCGCCGTTGCAGAAGCGTAATGGCACGTGCCAGAAGACCAAGGTTGCCATTCTGTGAGTCCCGTGCGCATTCAACTGCGATTGATGCTGATTCTTTACCAACAGCGGTGCAGGCACAGCAGGGATAACCGCTGCTGTATTTATCTCTCGAGCTCTACCAATCCAGATACCTGCACTGACGCTCAACAGCAAGCTCTCTCCAATGCCTCTGTAACGGACTTCTTGATCGTGGAATACAACAGCGTTATCGGAGGGAGAGTTGCCCATACTGCCTTTGGCGCAAAGAATCAATCATATACCGTGGAACTGGGCGCCAATTGGGTATGCTGAATGTTAAAGAGAATTGGCGGACCGGCTTACTAAACCTCCTTACCATAGGTCCAAGGCATATTCACGCCTGGAGGCCCAGTCAATCCGATATGGATATTGGTATGCTATTTTCTAAGTCATGTTTGCCTGAGACTATGCGAGCTGAACAACAATGATAGGCCGAGCTTTCAAACTTGACGAACACGTTAGTCTTGCAATGCAACATCTCTTCGGACTAGAGCTGATGTTCCAAGCTATTCCAACTATTCGTCGATCGAGACCTTCAACCAGAATGGTGCTGTGGATTTCACAGATCTGATTGATGCTTATGAGGGGGATCCATATTCGACGGTGGAGCAAGATGCGGGATACATTCTGAGCGACAACCTACAAGATCGGAGCTTTCGATCTGGATTAAGCCTTGCGGGCTGGAAACCGGGCAATGACATGGAAGCCCAAGCAGTCGAATGGTGGGAGTTCGATTGGGAGTATGGCCAGAGTCCAGTAGGGCAGATTCTGAGAGTCTGGTTAGAAAACAGAGCTGATCAAAGACAGGAATTGAGCTCTCAAGAGTTTGCTATTGTCAACTATGTAAGCTTATACCATCACCACCATCTTCTACGTCAGCTGATGAATTTAAGAACACAACTTTCTATCAATATTCGGATGCGAACAACTACGTCTTCGATTCGCGTGGCTTCAATGCCTTCATACGAGGCGAAGCATCGACTTTTTTGACTGCGAACGACCCAAGACTATTGCTCAACACGATTGTCACGAACGTATCCTACAGCGACAAGGGTGTGACGGTATACAATAAGGATGGGAGTTGTGTCGAGGCTGACTATGCGATTTGCACATTCTCGTAGGCTGCCATACCATCCCTGATCGTTGGATACTCACTAACAAAAACAGTCTTGGCGTCCTGCAGAATGATGCTGTAACCTTTTCTCCGGCCTTTCCCTCTTGGAAACAAATGGGTATCGAGACCTTTTCAATGGCTACCTATACCAAGATCTTCCTGCAATTTCCTCCCGATGAGGTGTTTTGGAACACATCCTACCAATTTTTTCTCTACGCCGACCCTAATGAGCGTGGCTATTACCCTGTCTGGCAATCCCTAGATAGCCCAGGCTTCCTTCCAGGCTCTGGTATCATTTTCGTGACCGTCGTGCAGGATCAAAGCTATGTGGTAGAGAATCAGGATGATGCGACTACAAAGGCCCAAGTCCTGGATGTGCTGCGGGACATGTTCGGCGCTGAAAATGTCCCTGAACCAATAGCATTCATGTACCCACGTTGGAGCTTGGAGCCATGGGCCTATGGCAGCTACTCCAATTGGCCTCCTGGAACGAGTCTGGAAATGCACGAGAATCTCAGAGCGAATATCGGCCGACTTTATTTCGCTGGCGAAGCAACGAGTACGGAATACTACGGCTTTCTGCATGGGGCATGGTTTGAGGGCCAGGCTGTAGGCACGGAAATTGCTGATTGCTTGAAGGGGAATTGCACTGGTGAGGTGCATTATAACGTGCTACATGGAACGACGCCACCTCGTGAGTACGATATCGAGAACGGATGGGACGTCACAAGCTTCCAGACGAACGGCTTTTAGAAAAAGGGGCGCCCCAATAATTGAGTCCACACAACCTATTTACATGTATGCAATTTACAAATTTCCCCATTTACACATACGTAACTCTCCGGTATTACTATCTTCTCTTTCAAAGTACACATTTCTGCCACAATAATACTATTAACAAGTCCAGGCGTGCTCTGGGCCTTCGGCTTGCGCCGCTCTCAGCGCCCGCCTGACGCCTAATCCACTTGACATACTCTCATGTCTATCGATGGCCTCGTGGCCGCCACATGAGACCGCTTGTGTGATATAAGGTTGAGTGGCGTGTGGATCGGACAGATTGGAGATGAAGGTTAAGGTGAGCCAATATGCGGGCTTTGCGCAACTGACTCTTCCAGCGAAATGGGCTTTTCCACATGGCGCTCCCCCCAAAAACTTACCTTCTCCTGCCTTCGCTCAAAAGCTGGAGCTCCCTCTTTCCTTCCCTCTTCCCTTCACGTTCGACGGTCCTAAACAATGAAGCCGCAAGCCTTGTGATTAGTAATATAGTTCACAAGTCAGGCACGGTCAGCCTTCTCAAAAATCGACCAATTCCTCCTACTGTAGTCATGGATCGTCACTGCTCCCACCAGTCGCCCTACCAACCATCTGCTGGCCAAGTATACCTGGATTACTCACGTTTGGACCGGGGAGACGATTGTACGGACGAGCGATTAAGAGCGCTCGAGTTGAGCGTACGACATTTGTCGGCATCCGAACTCGAAGAACATCGCAAACGCAAAGCTTGTTTTCAAAAAGAAGCAAACGACCAATGGGTCAAGATTGAAGAGATGCACATGGTGGAACAACGCGCTTTCGCAGCGTTGCATCAGTGCAAATTCCCTCCCGCAAAGGCAAATAACGGGAAGGACAACACCCATCGACAGCTGTCCGGAGTAGTTCGCCAACATTCGCAACCAAACTCTAGACCATGTCCCCTGAACTTCGCAAACGAAGAACACGAGCAGCAACAGAGTCCAAGAACGCGGCACGATCAGCGTGGGTATCTCGAATTTGAGATTGCTGACCAGAAAAGGAGATTGGCAAGGATGGGTCTTGGTGGCCAACAATCCGATGGCGAGTGTTCAATATCACAAGCAGCACTCCCGCTTCGTATGATAGACCCCAAGAGCCACCTTTCTCCACGAACTTGCGCTCCCAAGGGGAAACATGCTCAGCAGATGCAGGAGCAATCGAAAGCTCAAGAGCAGCAGAGCGAGACTCCACCTTCCGGTTCATGGGTACATGAGCGTATCAGTCATATCTTATTAGATGCTCAAGCTAGGCACGACGCCGGACAGCGAAACCTCGCTCAACAGAAGCGCGAGGAACAGAAGGTGCAGCTTCCTGCTGCAGAGCCTGGAAATCTACACCCAGGACCCTCAAGGATGTCTGGCATCCAGCCACCAGTTCACACCGTGCACCAGGACGACGTAGAGCAGAATGTAATGTCTGAACTGGCACTTTCAGTGCATCTCAGGTCTAAAATGGCTTCGCAAGAAGCATACCGCAAGTATAAAGAAGAGAAAGACCGAAAGAAGGAGGAGGAGGAGCGCAAGGCTGCCGTGTCGGTTCCAAGGTCTGAGGCTACAAGGACCGGATCTGTCAAGCAAATTCTTGCTAGTGTCAAAAACCCCCTGGAGCAGAAGGTTGAAGCTGCGATGGTTGAGGCGGCTAAGACAGAAATCCTACAAAATGAGGGTCTTCGGGATCAGTCGCAGCAGTCGCAAAAGGGCTCAGAAAAAGCTTACGAAACCGCTATCAAATACGGAGAAAGCTTTTGGTATAAGTATGATAAGAGTTACCCGATACCTAGACAATCAAATGGTATTCTGCTCTCCCAGCCTTGGCTTTGCCTCCGTACAGCCGCTAATTGCAAGCCTAGACCATCCAACAAGCGCTGATGAGTCGGCACGCCACAGTAGAATTTCCCAGAGAGAAGTACCACTTTATTCGTCTCGAACAAATGACCTCCGCGCTGCAATTGAGGCAATCGACAAAACTTCCGGTGACCTCTTAGAAAGCCCCAAGAGGGCTTCTGGTCAGAATGAACCGCCACTTCTCTTCGAACCTTCAACTGCCTCCATCTCGCGGAACAGGGAAAAGTGTATAGTTAATGCTGCAGATCTCTCCCTTCTCACTTTAAAATATCCGTCATTCAAGGAATTCAGACAGCCTGTGTCCCCGTGGCCCATTCCGCCAGGAGAGCAGACGGACACGAGCTCCGAATCGAGAGAGGATAAAGCAAATGTTGAAGATGCGGTGGAAGCTGCACCGCTGGCAGATGTAGATATACAATTGGAGTGGGAAGAGATGGATGACAGTCTTGGAAACGAAGGGTGGAGTGATGTCGAGCAAGACTTTGTGGACAGTATGTGGACGGGAAGTTCGAGCTCATCGGATGTGGAGTGGGCTTCCGATGTTGCGTCTGAGGGTGCGTTTGATTTATGAGGAAGTGAACATTGGCATGAATCTCATGAACCTCTTACATCACGTCAGCATGTATGTCTAGTTCTTTTTTACATCTAATTCTTCCGTACATATCATTTTCTTCTGAGTCTAAAACTAAGGGCTAGGGTCGTCCGTATGAGGTACTAATTTCATTTGCAGCCAATCACGCTTCATCCGGTTCACTGTATCTTATCTGCGTCTTACAGTCGCTCGGTGTGAATGCTTTCTTCAGATTTTCAAGGGTATCACTCCTGCTACTTTGCGCCCTGAGTTGGCGGGTGAACGTCTTACTCATCACTTCCCGGGTCGCATCACTATCGACTGTCTTCGCTTTTTATAAAGTCTTCTCGTCCGACCAGAGCGATGATCCTTCTTATAGCATACTACATTCAAGACCTAATCATCAGCGACAAAGACATACTGTGTTTACTATCTTAGGCTTCGGACTTGGGAAGTACAACATCTTCAAATTCATCTTCAACGTTCCATCCAACGTCTCAAGTCAAGGAGGTTTTCACAGTAACGTCATTGCCTTCATCGTTCCATCAAGGTACCACGGCCCAACACTGAACCACCTCAACATCATTGCTTTCATCTTTTCTATCACCATTTCAAGCTTATGACTCGTTTGTGGCAACCTTATCGTCAAACTCCACGACATACATCAGACATGCCTTCATCTCAAAATCACGAAACCCTCAACATCAGGGCGCTGAGGAAAATCATTGACCAAGAGATCAGCAAGGGGATACAGTGCATCAAACAATCAGCTGCAACGCGGATGAGTCTGTCGGACACCGCCATTTCTATGGTACTGGGCCTCGACGTCCAAATTCTGACACCGTACTGCGACGAGGACATAGGACCAGGGATGCTCGAGCTCGCCAAAACGACGCCGGTCCTCCTCACCTATGCGGCCGGGCAGGAACGCCAGGAAGCTCTACAGGCGGTCTGGCAGCTCCAAAAGCGAGCCCAAGACGACCCGGACCCGATCGCCAGATCTTTCCGCGAACAGCCCGCCACCATCCAGAAGCACTTCTTGACGACAAAGGTGAAAGAAATGCCGTTTGGACCTCGTGGGTACGCCATGGTAGACTACATTCCTTGTGCCGTTGTGCCCCTGGTCGATTACTGGCCCGACTTCGTCCGCAAGGCTTTCGCGTCGGGGGTGTGGCGGTTCGCGACTGCCGACGCCGAGGGCTGCGGCGGGGTGGTCCTCGAGATCATGGAGGGGCGGCTGGATCTCATCGAGTGGCTTGTTGAGATGGAGGAGAAGCGGAAGCTCGTCTTGGAGGACTCGGTGGCTGGACCTCTGGACCGGATAAGAGGAGACGTCTGGCCGATTCCGAGTACATCTCTTGAGCGGAGTTATCTGAAGGAGATGTCAAAGGAGCATGTGGTGACGGAAGCAGCACTGATGATGAGAGTGTTGGAGATCTGAGGTGTGAAAAAGGGGGAAAGGTTGGAAAGCTCAAAGGGGCTTGGATTTGCGAACTTGCATGCATTTGGACTTGGTCATTAAAAAGATCAATAGAACTACGGCGATGCATGCAAGATAAAAGTCTGCAAGATACAAAATGGAAGGGACTTTGGCTCCATCTTCACCACTAATCTATAAACATTCACTGTGCATAACTGAGGGGCGATATGCATTGTAGCACACCATTCGCCTTGTGTTATATTCATCTGCACGATTCCGTAGCAACATTCACTGCAGCTCGGCAATCGCGGCTCCAAACCCATTCCTCTACTCTTTTCACTTGCTCTTGCTCCTCAGACACCTTCCTCTCTTACCGACATCGTCGATCAGAATATCGATCCGGTAGGCGAAAAACTGCACCGGATCATCGACACCAGCCCATCCCGGGACCGTCACCCAATCAGACAGAGACCATGTTGACGCCAACTGTATCCTATAATCATTCGAAATGCAGTGCGATCTTCGTTGTGCAAATCGAGTGAGTCAAACCTCACCCTACTTGCACCGCGTTCTAGAATGGGGGCTGATGAAGTCCCTGAAGCAATAGAGATGGCTCCGAGCCCGTCGTGTTGTCTTCCCGTTATGGGTACGATGATGCGGTTAGGGATCTCTGGTGAGCTTAACACCCCTGATTCCTCAAGACTGGCATGAAACCTGCGGCTAATGCTGTCCCTTGTAGCAAGAAAGTCCGCTCCACGCCCGACATGTTGTTCGCTTGTGTTGGCAGAGATGAAGACACGAGTGCCCTGGTGAGGGAGTCTAGTCGTGTGGCTCTTCTTGTCTACAATCTTCGGTAGGATTCTGAACTTCGAGCTCGCCGGTTGAGGGGACTGACGTCTCAGCTTTCGGTTTGTTTAGCAAGGATTTTGGGTTTGCTCTCGCTGCTTGGGCCCCTGCCGATTTGTTGAAGAGAAGGCGGACCAGATTCACGGGGTCTGACGATGGATTTTAGTCCACTTATCCACCAATGGACCGTGCTGTCCCTGACCATTCGGAAGCCGAAGAACTCAACGGTGGGTTGAAGGATGAATAGCTGACTTGTATAGTGGTAGCAATACCATCTATAGCACTGCTGCATATGGCCATGTTGATGTGATTGCGAGAATGCGTTGTGACAACTTCGATGGCTATTCTCCAATGTTCGCCACCGGCACTGTCCAGGACTTTGACCCAGCTTTCTATGCAGCAAACGGGTGCACAGCTCATACCTGTGATGTAGTAGCTGGTTACAGATACGCGGAGGGGTCGGTGAAGGACGGTGCGTGTGGGAAGGAGAATAACGCCGAAGTAGGGAAGGAGAATAATGCCGAAGTAGAAAAGAAGGCGCATAATAACAATAACAGTAACCAATAGATCTTGGTGGATCGAACGGCCTGAATAATGGTAGCGTTCTAGGGCTATAGCCGGAGAAACGACGAGGATAGTTAGAAAATCGGCATAGCATGCGGTCACAAAACATGGCAATTGGACAGAATCACGAGCTTAAACGGTTTTCTATGCAATCGTAGCCATCGTGTCGACCACAATAAACCCTTCCACCTGATGCACCACCCTCTTAACGCTTCTTCGCCAGATTCTCCTTCAGCACCTTCTTCACAATCTTCTGCTCCTCAATCAAAAACGCCCTCACGACCCTATCCTTCACGCAGTTCGAACACCTCGAGCCCCCATATGCGCGCTGTACGGTTTTCTTAGGCTTGGAGATTTTGGCGTATTCACGGGGCCGGAGAGCGGGGATCTAGAGACCCGGACAGCGAGTCAGCAGGTTCGATCGCCTGGGATTTTGGGGCCGGAGAGGAAAATCTCGTGGATGTAGAGCATGTAGGAAGAGTGGAAGGTGGGGGGAAGGGGACTAACGCCTGGGAGCTTGGTGCCACAGTCACCGCACTTTGGCGGGCTGCCCTTCTTCTTGGTGTGCTGGTATTGGAGCTTTCCCCCTGGGGTCTTGACGATTCGGACTTTGTTGGAACGTGTGTTGTATCTAGTCGGAGCCCATCAGTCACCATTCCCCGAGGCGTGGGGCCTGGACATGGCAGGCCTGCTGTTCGCAGAGAGACTTACGGATTTCTCCGTCGCTGCGCATCAAGAACGTTAGCATCGGCTTATCTTGGGGGGGAGATAATAGAAGACAACTCACGTATGCTAACCTCGCACCCATCTTGACGACTTGATCACTGGTTACTGTGGAGGTCAAGTTTGATATGCGTCGTCGATGAGCTTGACCAAAATTCGCGATGTGTGATACTGATAGCCGAGGCGCTAAAATCTAGCGGCTTGGCGTATCTCGAACGTTTTTTGCAGAGCCGCCACTTTTGGAAGAGTACGAACACCATCACGAAGTCGCTCCCTCCGAGTGATAGCAGATGAGGGAAGAGACAATCTGGCTATCAGCAATCGTTCAGGCTCATAGCATAGGGTCGCTGCCGCAGCGTATCTGAGATCTGAGAGGTGCTTTGCTCCGCCAGCAGGTCTTCCATCGCGCCTCTGCAATACTTGATGAAGTAGGATAGAAGTCGAGAACAACTCATCACCAATTCACCATGTCTTCTCTTCCACCACCTCCGCCGCCAGGCTGGGGAGCAGGACCTCACTCGATGCCTTCGGCGCCACCACCACCTGGCTACCAACCGCCTGCCGATCCCCAAGTCGCGAAGTTCGCCCAGAAAAAGAAGGAATGGCTACGGTCGCAGCGAAACCGCTTTGGGGAGAAGCGAAAGGGAGGGTTCGTGGAAACGCAGAAGGCTGATATGCCACCGGAGCATCTACGGAAGATCGTCAAGGATATTGGAGATGTGTCACAGAAGAAATTCAGCAGTGACAAGCGGAGCTATCTAGGTGCTTTGAAGTTCATGCCGCACGCGGTGCTGAAACTGCTAGAGAATATGCCGATGCCTTGGGAGTCGGCGAGGGAGGTGAAAGTGCTATATCATGTCAACGGGTGCTTGACGATGGTAAATGAAACACCGAGGGTGATTGAGCCCGTCTTTCATGCGCAGTGGGCTACGATGTGGGTGTGCATGCGAAGGGAGAAGAGCGATAGACGACATTTCAAGAGGATGAGATTTCCACCTTTTGACGACGAAGAGCCCCCGCTTTCGTGGTCGGAGAATATTGAAGATGTGGAGCCATTAGAGCCGATCCAGATGGAGCTCGACGAAGCTGAAGATGGACCCGTCCTCGACTGGCTTTACGAGCATCGACCCCTCCTGGATACTCCACATGTCAACGGGCCAAGCTACAAAGAATGGAACCTAAGTTTGCCGCAAATGGCCACCCTCTACCGGCTGAGTCACCAGCTGTTGAGCGACCTGGTGGATCAAAATTACTTTCATATGTTCGACCTCCCGAGTTTCGAGACGGCAAAGGCTTTAAACGTCGCTATACCAGGTGGCCCACGGTTCGAGCCACTCTACAAGGACGTGGATCCAAATGATGAAGACTTCGGCGAGTTCAACGCGATCGACCGCATCATCTTCCGAGCACCTATCAGGACTGAGTACCGCGTGGCTTTCCCATTTCTATACAACTCGCTACCTCGAAGCGTTAAGCTTTCGTGGTACTCCCATCCGCAAGTGGTCTATGTCCGAGCTGAAGACCCGAGTCTTCCAGCCTTCTACTTCGATCCTGTCATCAACCCAATATCTTCACGCTCCGTTGCACCCAAAAACATCACCGTCAGCCATGAAGATGAAATCTTTGGACACGGCAACATGGAAGACGAGGAATTCACATTGCCTGGTAACATGGAGCCGTTCTTGGCGGACGAAGAACTCTACACAAGCGAGACCTCATCGGCCATCTCACTGTGGTGGGCGCCGTTCCCCTTTGACCGTCGGTCTGGAAAGATGGTGCGTGCTCAAGACGTGCCTTTGGTCAAGCAATGGTATCTGGAGCATTGCCCGCAAGGTCAACCAGTCAAAGTCAGAGTTTCATACCAGAAGCTTCTGAAAACCTACGTCTTGAATGAGCTGCACAAGAAAAAGCCCAAAGCGCAAAATAAGCAAAACTTGATGAAGTCACTCCGGTCAACGAAGTTCTTTCAGCAGACAACCATCGACTGGGTCGAGGCCGGTCTTCAGGTCTGCAGGCAGGGCTTCAATATGCTGAACCTGCTCATTCATCGCAAGAACCTGACGTATCTTCATCTGGACTACAACTTCAATCTGAAGCCTGTTAAAACGCTCACGACAAAAGAGCGAAAGAAGTCGCGCTTTGGGAACGCTTTCCATTTGATGCGGGAAATCTTGCGCCTGACAAAGCTGATTGTCGATGCTCAAGTCCAGTACCGCCTCGGCAATATCGACGCCTTTCAATTGGCCGATGGAATTCTGTATGCCTTCAACCACGTCGGACAGCTTACCGGTATGTACCGATACAAGTACAAGCTCATGCACCAGATTCGATCATGCAAAGATCTAAAGCATCTGATTTACTATCGGTTCAACTCTGGCCCAGTCGGCAAAGGACCTGGATGCGGCTTCTGGGCACCTGCCTGGAGAGTCTGGCTGTTCTTCATGCGCGGTATCATCCCATTGCTTGAGAGGTGGCTTGGTAACCTGCTTTCTCGACAATTCGAGGGTCGACACAGTAAGGGTGTGGCTAAGACTGTCACAAAGCAGAGAGTCGAGTCTCATTTCGACCTTGAGCTTCGTGCCTCTGTCATGGCTGACTTGATGGACATGATGCCTGAAGGGATCAAGCAGAACAAGGTCAACACCGTGCTGCAACATCTGTCTGAAGCTTGGAGGTGTTGGAAGAGTAACATACCTTGGAAGGTGCCTGGCCTGCCTGCGCCTATTGAGAATATCATACTGCGATATGTCAAGAGCAAGGCCGACTGGTGGATTTCGGTTGCCCACTACAATCGAGAGCGTATTAGGAGAGGTGCTACTGTTGACAAAACTGTCGCAAAGAAAAACCTCGGCCGTCTCACTCGATTGTGGCTGAAGGCAGAGCAAGAGCGACAGCACAACTATATGAAAGATGGGCCCTATGTCTCGTCGGAAGAAGCCGTGGCCATCTACACCACGACAGTTCATTGGCTCGAGTCGAGAAAGTACTCTCCTATACCTTTCCCCGCTGTATCGTACAAGCACGACACCAAGATCCTGATTCTGGCCTTGGAACGACTGCGAGAAGCATACTCGGTCAAGGGTCGTCTGAATCAAAACCAAAGAGAAGAGCTTGCCCTAATCGAGCAGGCTTACGACTCTCCGGGAACGACACTCACACGTATCAAGCGCTTCTTGCTTACGCAGCGTGCTTTCAAGGAAGTTGGCATTGACATGAATGACAACTACAGCTCCATCAACCCTGTCTACGATATTGAGCCTATAGAGAAGATCACCGATGCCTACCTCGACCAGTATCTCTGGTACCAGGCTGATCAAAGACACTTGTTCCCCGCCTGGATCAAGCCCTCTGACTCGGAGGTTCCACCGCTACTCACCTACAAATGGGCTCAAGGTATCAACAACTTGGGCGGTGTTTGGGAGACAGCCGATGGGGAGTGCAACGTCATGATCGAGACTCAGCTTTCGAAGGTGTATGAGAAGATCGATCTTACGCTGCTGAACAGGCTTTTGCGCTTGATAATGGACCATAACTTGGCAGATTATATCACGTCAAAGAACAATGTGCAGCTGAATTACAAGGACATGAACCACACCAACAGCTACGGGATGATCAGGGGTCTACAGTTCTCAGCCTTTGTCTTCCAATACTACGGTCTAGTCCTTGACCTGCTGCTGCTTGGTCTGCAGCGTGCAAGCGAAATTGCTGGCCCACCTCAGAGTCCCAACGACTTCTTGCAATTCAGAGACCGCAAGACAGAGACTAGACATCCTATCCGACTATACACCAGATACATTGACCGTATCTGGGTCTTCCTGAGGTTCTCTGCCGATGAATCAAGAGATCTCATCCAGCGTTTCTTGACAGAGCAGCCAGATCCCAACTTTGAGAACGTAATTGGATATCGCAACAAGAAGTGTTGGCCGCGAGATTCAAGGATGAGGCTGATGAGGCACGACGTCAATCTTGGCCGCGCTGTTTTCTGGGATCTCAAGAACCGATTGCCAAGATCAATCACCACCATCGAATGGGACGACACTTTCGCCAGCGTCTATAGTAGAGACAATCCTAATCTGCTTTTCTCGATGAGTGGATTCGAAGTTCGCATCCTGCCCAAGACTCGGAATCTCAATGAGGAGTTCCCTGTCAAGGACAGTGTTTGGTCGCTTGTGGATAACACCACAAAGGAGCGAACTGCTCATGCGTTCTTACAGGTCACAGAGGAGGACATTCAGAAGTTTAACAACCGCATCAGACAAATCTTGATGTCCTCTGGCTCT